CTCTCTCTCTCTCTCTCTGGTAGAGTGCCATAGAGTCTCTGTTCGGGGCGTCTCTGACAGGCGTGGCCTACTCTCTCTTTGCCGGTCAGCCTCTCACCATCCTGGGAAGCACTGGTCCAGTTCTGGTCTTTGAGAAGATCCTCTTCAAGTTCTGCAGGTGGGTTGTTACAAAGCTGGTCAGCAGGGGGCGCTGTCCCCGGAACATCAGTCAGTCGTCACCATGACAGCGTACATTGAACTGTCTTTGGTTAGTTCAGGTGTCTGTAAAAACAACTGGACATTTGAACATCATTTTTAATAAATCAATTTGTGATTGTTATTAATAATGTTAATTAACTTAAATCTATTTAATGGGTTCAGGTTGATTCTTCACAAACGATGATCGCTGCAGTCATTCGCTTTTATTAAGCAGCATTCTTATAACTGATCTCATTCAATAAGCAGTGATGGATTCAGAGTCAGTCCCTGAACTTTGATATAATTAGCTGACTTTATATTCACATGATGTTTTCTCCCATAATCCATCTGTCAGAAAATCCTTTCACATTTTTTAATATCTAAACTTTTTGCAGAAACTTTTTTATATATTTCAGTGAAACACGTTTTTTTTTCTCTTATTTTCTCGTTTTATCCCGTCTTCATTTAAAACTAAACTAACAGAGTGAATTGATTATCTCGTTGCTTCCGTTCGTTGACATTTGTCCTTTTTACCATCTTCTCTAATTAGTGGCGTCAGCGATGTCCCTGAACAGGATGTGCTTTTATAAACGTAGTAAAACATCAGTTGAAAGTAACCGAGCAGCAGAATCAGGTTTGTGGGTTTGAGGATCAGTTGTGTGATTGGCTTAGAGAAACGGATTAAAAAGACTTTTTGTGATTAAATAAATAGTATTTTGTAAGACTTACATAAAACCCTTTGTTCAACCTGCTGCATTTCCCAGAAGATTATATCATTCTAATATTATGTTTGTGTGTCACTCAGATATTTCCAGGAAAATCCACCAGAGACACTTTCGGCCTCTGGAGTTCTTGTTTCCCTTTATTCGGTCTTAAATATAAAAGAAATGCCGATTGTTTCTGGGAAACCTTTGGTCCGTAGACACTTTGATTTTTCACTCCGTCCCGTTGGATTTCAGGATGTAGCGAGTCACACAGTCTGAGTTTGAAAGATCAGGTGATTTTATTTGAACAGAGTCTAAATCAAACGGAGGCAGTGACGTAACATTCACTGGATTTTACAACAAAGATGATGATGGCGACAGATGAGCCGATGCGTTGTGTTCGTCCTCACATGGCGAACAGCAGGAAGCCGCTGAAGGTGCTGTGGTGGTTACTGTTGTCCCAGATCTGAGTGTTGTGCCACAGCTGCATGGAGAGTGTGTCCCCCTGCTCCAGCAGCAGGGTGGCGCCGTTGGACGCCGTGTCGCTGCCTTCACCGGACGCCTGCTCGTGGGCGATCAGCTGGATAGAAGCACCGTTTTTGTAGAGCACTGCGCTCATGGGGAAGTCGGTGGGGGCGTTGGCGGTGAAGCGGATGTAGTAGACTCCACGAACAGGTGCCGTGAACACACCTGGAAGAGGAGGAGTTTAAAAACACAAGCACGGCAGCTGAGTTGAAAACAGCGTGTGTTAGTTTGTCTTCACTGACCGCTCTCAGGGTTGTACGCCTGTCCGATGTTGGTCAGGACATCTTTGTAGACGAGCGTCCTGCTTCCTGACGTCGTCTTCAGAAGACCGTTTCCTCCGAGAGAAACGGCAAACGCCACCTTCGGTACGTCTGAAGAGAACAAAACAAATCACGTTTATCCTGCTATGGAAGTTTCTTTAAGACGACGTGAGCTGAATCTGACGGAACTGAGTCGTAAAAATACTAAAAGGTGAAGGTGTCGGTATTGATTTCATCCACGGGATGGCGCTCTTCCGCCACAGGTTCAGCTCTGCCCACTGTTTGTGTACTGCTGCTGTTAGATCACGGTGGCGTCTGATCAGTGCAGCCTGTTGAGATGCGTCATAGAAGATTACAAAGTGGTTTCAAATGCAAAGTGACCGACCTCTCGCAGCCTTGAGCGTCGTCTCTGTGGCCTCCAGTCGCTCTCTGATGCCTGCAGACACAGACACACACACACACACACACACACACACACACACACACACACACACACACACA